GCTCTGTTGCCCTTGCTGTTCTATTCCACGCCCTTAGTGTTTTGCCTCGGTGTGGTGGGATCAGATCGGGCGGAATTCCCACACTGTGCCTCCAGTGTTGTCCCCTGTAGGACTATGGGTCAGTGAGGGATGTCGTGTCTCATAGTGGGGTCAGCCATATGGTCTTCTCTGTGAATTGGCTGCTCTGAGTGGGAATATTGTCCTCAAGGCTTGGTGGGCCAGGATGTGCCCCACTCTGTCTTCCTCCCCCTTCATTTGCTCCCATGTGCTCTGATCAGACATGTCCCTCTCCCTGAGCTGCAGATTCAGGGCTGTCCTCTGAAATAAATTCTTCTGGGCAGAGGGGCAGGTGTCCACATAGTTGGGATTGGGGCCTGTCCCTCAGACCCCTCATATTATTTCTTGTAACCCCAAAAACCAAACTCAATGCCATCCAGTCAATGCTGACTCATCACAACTCCTTGTGGGTTTCCAAGACCCTAACTGTTTATAGGAGTAAAAAGCTCAGTCTCTCTCTGGAGGAGCTGCTGGTGGTATTGAACCGATGACCATGTGGATCACAGCCCAACTCATAGCCACTATGCCACTAGAGCTCCCCAACTATATGTATAAAGAAAAGCTTTAATTGAATCCGCAGTTGTTGCAAAAGACAGGCTTTAATTTTAAGAAGTGGAAATGACACGACTAATGTGATGACACTAGGAAATTAAGGCTTGGTGTATAATATAAGGAAACAAGTTACTAAATCAAGGCATTCCTGGAATTCATTATGGCTCTAATTTCATTTTCTCAAAGTAGAAATCTGGGGTCAAAACATCTTCGTGTCTTCCTATTTTACCTCAACTGATTTTTTCCTTCTTTCCTCTACAAGCTTTTCAATATCTTAGGTGAAGATATTGAATATATCTTTTCAATATATACGGACATGAAGAAAGGCATGGATGTTGCAAACATTTGCATCGCTTTCTTATTCCTTCAGCTACAGGTCCAATCTAATTACAACTACAGAGATGCTAGATAAAAAAGGGGAAATAAAATAAAAGAAGGTGGAAAACACGAGGGTCTATTAAGACAAATGTCTAGAAACTGGCCCATTTGTTTAGCTTTCATTATTTCGGAAGGAATGGCATCTTTCCATTGCAGAAAGTATTTGCAACCATGATTAAAATGAAATTCGGTATTCTGAAGATGCAAATCAAGTTTCTGACATTCTAGTAGGAAAATCACACCCAGAATGCATCCTACACAGCTGAAATAGATGCTCTTACCAGCAAATGTTGGCCGAACCTCTGGGTTTGCTGCCCAGCACTGCTTCATAAGGGCAATAATCTCCTTTGGGCAGTACTCAATGATGTCTTCCACCTTCGGCCGGTTCCCAGATGTAATGCATATTATCAACTGCTGTTCACAGATTGCATCTATAAGGCAAAGAGGAACTAACAGTGAAACTTTCTATTAGTCTGCTCCTCTCTCAGGCAGTAAGGTGACAGAATTTAGGCAATATTTCAGACTCATTCAGTAAGGGGAGAATGGATTTTTGAAGCTCACATGAAGGGGGATCCAAAGAAAACCAGAATTTTTTCCCCAAAGCTATGCATTTTTTTATTTTACGAAACAACCTTATCCCCATCAAAAATACTCTCCAGTACACTTAATACGTTGGTCAAATCTGCAATTCCATTCTTGGAAACATTTTCAAACTCATTTGTTTGGATGGCTGATAGCACCTCCCTCATTTTTTTCTTCACCTCTTCTACATCGTCAGATTGCTGTCCTTCACGTCCCTCTTCATTCACAGAAACAAAAAAGTCACATGGAGCGAGGTCAGGTGCGTGGGGCAAGAGAGCATGCTGTTATGCAATCTTTTTAGAACCTCTAAATAGAAAGCTTGATGACCTGTCTGATCTGGTGGAATGGACGCCAAATGTACTATGTGTGGACATTTTTGTTCGTTCAGGTAGTTGATGGGCATCCAGAACAAGATGTCATCAATTGATATTTTAACTTTTGAAATGAGGAAACCACTTGTACACTTGAGTTTTTCCCATAGCACTGTCCTGTAAGCTGTGTTCAACATCACAATAGTTTCTGCAATATTTTTCCCAAGCAGGAAACAAAACTTCACAGACGCATGCTGTTCTCGGCTATCACACAAAAAAGTCCAAGCGAAACAGATTTTATTAAAAAATTCACTGTGACCAGAGAGAACCTTCCTAGGCGACACCACTGGGTGCACTAACTCAGAGTGCATTGCTCAATGGTCACCAAGAGAAAAAAATTTGTACTATGAACGCTCTGCTCTGCCCAGCACAATTCCACTGTTTTCTGTTGTTTTTTTTTGGGGGGGTACCCCCTTGTATATTGCTAATACTTATGGACGTGTCACAGTAAGTACTTGGAAAAAAATCACTGAAATGAATAAAAGTATAAAGTTCATAACTTGTAGTAATGAAGGTGTGAGCTCTCCTAGGTGGAAATAAGCAATCGTTCCAGTCCAGGCAGAATTCTGGATATTTACAGCAACCTCTCTATCCTGGATTAGCTGTATTATCAAGGCTTGTATTGGCTCTGTGAAGCCCAGCTCCTAAAATAGTATCCGTCATTCACTGAACACAAAGGTACTGAGTACCTTGTGTTTCAGACACTATATAGTCAGATGGGGTCCCAGCCTTGCTGGAGCTGATAGGGCAGTGGGTGAGACAGACATTAAACCAAGGAACAATTCTAAATATTAACTGATTTCATTAAAGGTCATTCTTTCATACCCAAATCCCACTCGCCTACAAATATCTTACTTTCATAGGGCTCTTTGTTGGCAAAAATTGCCCAAAGTACTATGGCAAAGCTGTATACATCTGATTTCTCCGTGGGCTTTACGTTGACATCATTCAGATGCTCAGGCGCCATGTAGCAGAGTGTCCCACCGCTGCTCTTGGAGGCGCTGTTCATTTTCCTCTGCTCGTTACGCTCCTCTTTGGTCAGCTTACTCCACATTTTAAAGGAAGCAACACCCAAATCAGCTATCTGCAAGAGACCACACAAAAGGATTGCTCTGCGAACGTTATTAGCGAATCAGATTCGGTTTTACATTTTGGACGTTATCCAGGACACGTGAATTCCAATAACGCTCTAAGCAAGAGTTGTTCCGGGGAGTTTTAAAACAGTTACTTCCAGTTTCAAGGGAAGATGATTGCTCATCCCAAACTTTGTGCTTTCCAAGGCATCTGGGATATCTGTCCCTCCCACTAAAACGTTCAAATGAAATTCTAGTATCTTAATTCTCAGGCAAACAAGAGCAGGGAATTTGCTGGGGCAGGAGAAGAGAAATAAAGACATTTCTGACATGAACAATTAATAAAATATATGCGCTGGAATTCCTCCCTTTCTCTATGTTATCAATTACTCTTCCTAAACTCAATGTCAACAAGTCGAATCTAACTCATATTGTGGCTAGTGGACAGATAAGAGCTGGGGGCTCTGAGGCTGTAAATCTTTATGGGAGCAGAAAGCCCGATAGCTCTCCCATGGCACAGCTGGTGGTTTTGAACTGACTTTGTGGTTAGCAATGATGTGGTTAGACCACTGTGCCACCTGGACTCCTGAACTACTCGTCGGGCCAGGAAAAATGAGCATTATCTCCTGAGCAGACCTCCTATCAGAATAGCAGATGGTGACTAGGTACTGAACCTTCTCTTTTCCCAAGTGATGTCCAGAGGCCCAAGGATGAGTTTCCAAGAATTCCAAAGATGCAGTTAGGATAAGGACAGTGGTGCTACTTTTTCTGAGCTGACAGCCTCAACCTATGAGAAGATAGGACAGGGAGGAGGAGGAAAGTGTAAAAAAGCATGAAGAAAAACACCGACATAATTTAAAATACAAACAGGGAGATAGTTGGGCAAAAAAGCAGAAAAACAGTTAAAAAGAAATCAAAGGTGACAGTATCACATAAGGATTCATACAAGCATTTGGGGGCATGAATTCTGGCACGTGATTATCTAAAAATCTACACTGAGCTACTTGACCTTCATTTACTCCAGAACATAAAAGTTATTCATGTAAAGAAAGTGCCTCCCTTTAAAGCAGTGGTTCTCAACCTTCCTAATGCCGTGATCCGTTAGTACAGTTCCTCATGTGGTGGTGACCCCCAACCATAACATTATTTTCATTGCTACTTCATCACTGTAATTTTGCTGCTGTTAGGAATCAGGCGACCCCTGTGAGCACAGATTGAGAACTGCTGCTTTAAAGACACAAGGATAGAAATTCTTCCAAGATTAGAGGCTGAATTCTAGCACAGGAGGACATCCATGGAAACGGCTCCCAAGTCCTTTAAAAAAACAAAAAGTTTTATTGACATATAACTCACAGATGATACAATTTAATCAATTGATCTTTAAGAAGAGTTGTGCAAGCATCACCATAATCAGTTTCGGAGCATTTTCTTCTCATATTTGTCATGGTTAGCTCACCATTTGCCCCGACTCCCGATACCACACTCCTTGCTATGTTAGGTGCATTGAGCTGGTTTGGATTCACAGCTGCCCTGCGTACAACAGAACAAAACACGCCCCATTCCTGCACCAGCCTATCCTCACAATGATGCTCGAGCCCCCTGTTGCAGCCACTGTGTCAAACCACCTTGCCTCGGGCTTGCCTCTCTTTTGCTGCCCCTCTCCTTTAATAAGCATGATGTGCTTTTCCAGGGCTCGGTCTTTTCTGACAACATGTCAAAGTAGGTGAGAAAAATCTTGCCATCCTTGCCTCCAAAGAGCATTCTGGCAGTACTTCTTCCAAGACAGACTGGTGTTTTTTTTGGACAGTCCATGGTACTTTCAACGTTCTTTGCCGGGACCATACTTCAAACGTATTGATTCTTCAGTGGATCTTGGTAGCTGTTTCCTCTCATTTTGAGTCATGCCCCATCAGCAAATGAAGACCAAAGGCTTGACTCCCACGGTCTTTACTCCATTCATGTTATTATGGTCAACTTTACTTTGACAAAGCAGCTCTTCTTCAGTCACATTCATTAGGCCTTCAGTATGTGACAGTATTTTGATGTTATGCATAAGGCTTTTCAGTGGCTACATCCTTCTAAGTGGACAGCCAATTCCTTCTTCATAATCTGCCCTTTGTCTGGAAGCTTTGCTGGAACCTGTTTGTTTTGGGTGACCCTGTTGACAGTTCAAATATCACTGACATAGCTTCCAGCATCACAGCAACATAAAAGCCACCATAGGATGCCAAACTGTCAGACAAGTGGTGGGCTATGTCCCTAGATAATTATTAATCCAGTTACTGTCTCTGTAGAGCCTGAATTTCACACAGAGAAAATCACACAAAACACAAATAGGAAGCCAACAAACAAATGAAAACTAACCACAGTGATAAAACAAAACAGGGGAAAATGTCAGTGGAGAAGAAAGCAGAAAATGTTAAAACCTGAAGCTTTAAAATGTGTGAAAAGGGAGATCAAATGATAAGGTACTACATTGTAACCTCACTACAACTGCCCCATCACTGACCTTACAATGCTCTCTGTCTGATAGCAAGGTTATTCACAACCCTGGACTAGGCTCAGAAAGGGTTTACCAGAAGCTTTAATCCATGTGGGGGACCCTGAAAATAGATCTTGGGCTTCCACTGTCACTTATAGCATTCTGCAAACTAGGTGGTCAGAATTTACTTATTAATGCTGCTTCCCTTTCAGATTCTTAAGCCAGATTCACAGGACCAAACCTAGTTGAATGTAATGCTATGCATAGTTAAATCTTAAATTTGAGTGAACAAAGGAAAAATCTCTTTGCCTGGTTCCCTTTACTACAACAGAGTTAAATGTTTCCAATCACACGAAACATAAACAGGAAGCAAACAAACAAACGAAAACCAACAACAGTGACAAAACAACACAGAGAAAAAATTCAAAAACAACAGTTCAATGCTTTCAAAATAAAGCTGACTTAAAACTACACCTGTAAGTAAACAAATAAAATTTTTAAATGTAGTCCAATTTCAAAGCTGAGGGGGGGTTTGTGTGTCAAAATGGCCACTGTTCTCTCAAGAATGCTGCTCCTGTGGTTATTCGGTGCCATCAGATCAGTTCTGACCCACAGCAACCTAATCCTCAAATGAACAAACACTCCCTGGTCCTGTGCCATTGTTCCGATGCTTGAGCAAGTTGTTGCAGCTACCGTGTCAATCCATCTACTTGACAGCCTTCCTCTTTTTCCTTGGCCCTCACTGTACCAAACACGATGCCCTTCTCCAGGGACTGGTCTCCCCTTGCAAACATGTCCAAAGTTTTATGACAAAGTCTCACCATCCTTGCCTCTAAGGAGCACGCTGGTCTTACTTGTCTCAACATAGATTGATTTGTTCTTTTAGTATTCCATGGTACTTTCCATATTCTTTGCCAACACCAAACTTCAAATGTATTGACTATTCTTCGGTCTCCCTTATTTACTGTCCAACTCACACCTGGGTATGAGACAGTTGAAGATACCATGGCTTGGGTCAGGGGCACCTTAGTCCTCAAAGTATAATCCTTGCTTTTCAGTACTCAAAAGAGGTCTTGTGCAGCAGATTTACCCAATGTTAACATGTCATTGGATCTTTTGACCGCTGGTCCCATAACCATTAATTGTGGATCCAAGCAAGACAAAATCCTTGACAACTTCAACATTTTCACTTTCAGCAAGCAAGCTTGTGTCGTCTGCATATTGCAGGTTGTTAATAAATCTTCCTCCAATCCCGATGCCACATTCTTCTTCATATAATCCAGCTTCTCTGATGATTTGCTCAGCAGACAGATTGAATCAGGATGGTGAGAGGCTACAACCCTGTCACACACCTTTCTTGATTTCAAACCACGCAGCATTCTCTTGTTCCATTCACACCACTGCCTCGTGATCAATGTCTAAGTTCTGTGGGAACCCAATCAAGTGTTCTGGAATTCCCATTCTTCTCAGGGCTATCCACAGTTTGTTATGATCCACACAATTGAACGCCTTGACACAGTCAATGAAATACATGTAAACATCTTTGTGGTGTTGTTAGGTAGCTAGCATAGGGACTGGGGTCTCCATGACGCATGCTCACAGGTTCGAGCTTCCAGCCAGGAAGGGGTGGTACACCGAGGTGGGAGTTACACTTGGATTGGCCCATCTAAGCCAGGTGAATTTCATTCAGCCAATGGGGTCCCCCGGTATTGCCGACCACGCCTCCCAACGGGGTCCCTGAAAAGGCCAGAGGTTTGGCTCTGGCGCGCTCTCTCTCCCAGCGGCTGTTACATGATGTAGCACAGCAGGCTGCGGTCAGGAGCGGCCAGGCTGCAGTCCCGCAACTGTGCCGTGGACTCTGTCTGGCTTGTGTTCCATTTACTGTACAACCTGAAACTGCTTCTATTCTCTAGAAACCCACTTGGATCACAAACCAGCTTCAGCGTGAATTCTTTCTCATGAGGAGCCAAGGACTGAGGGATCTCTCTCTCCCCCGAGAGATCTAACAGTATTTTCTGCTTTGAGCTAAGCTCCATCTGCCGTCAGCAATGATATCCCTTGTTCTTTCTTTTCTGCATCGGGCCTGAACCTCTCTGGCAGCTTCCTGTCAATGTATTGCTGTAACGGTTGTTAGATGATCTTTAGCAAAATCTTACTGGGATAGCAGTGATACTGTTCTATAATTTGAGCATTCAGTTAGGTCAGTTTTCTTTGGAATGGATAAAAATATGGATCTCTTGTAGTCAAATGACCAAGTAGCTGTTTTTCCAATAGTAAAGATTTTTTTTCTGGATATGCCTGCATGCCTGCTTCTCACTCCCAGGACTCTCCGTCACACAGATTTCCTGGAGAAAATGCTGATGTAAATGGACTCAACCCAGGGTGGCAAGGCAACACTTGAATCCTTTTATCTAAAAGTCTCTAATCAAGCAGAGGAAAAAAATGAATCTAGGTAACATTTGATTCCATCCTCCCAGAAAAATAAAAGAATGACATCCTTATAGTGACTTCCTAACTTTATAAACTGTGCATCTTTCTCTCAATACTCAGTCAAGACTTTTCCCATCCCCACCATCACCAACGATAAACTAAGTTTTCCCTGGTCATTGACCATCTACAAAATGGATTTCATGGAAATCCATTTCCAAACAATTAAAATTACATTTGAAATTTAAATTGCTAAAAACTCTAAGCTTAATTGTGGCTTACCTTAATGTGAAAGTCATCATCAACAAGAATGTTTTCAGGTTTCAGATCTTTGTGTATGACCCCTTCTCCATGTAAGTAGCACATTCCTTCGATGGTCTCCAAAATTATCCTTCCTTTTACTGAGAGGGGGATGCTGATCTGAAACAAAAGTAAACAAATAGGCCAAAGCAGCGACTTTATTAAAGAGTAAAGGGGTCTGTACCTGAGGCTATATTTGCCAGGTGCCCTTCGACCATGTCCTGAGCATTAAAATCAATGTAGGGCAAGCTAACTCTCTAAGGAATATTTCATTCGAGGGCTCCAAGCTATTTATATTGTACCTTGTCAGTATAATAATTATAATCCTGTGTCACACTGATAATCATATAAAAATGCTAAAAATTAAGCTCCTTAGAATTAAACAGTTTATTATTCTAACTATTTAGGATTATATCCTTAGTACACAGCATGGAGCCTGGAAAAGTGAATGCCTGTCAAATAAATGAATAAGTACAAGGGGGTGTTAAAAGTTAATGGGAAAATGAAATGAAAAGATAATGAAATGCTTTCACAAACTTTCAGAGGTCCCTTCAAAGAGATAAAAAAATATTTATGGAATGATATACTATATGCCTATAAAATGAGAACCATATTATGATGACCTATATAAGAAATAATGTTAAGAAAAATGAGAATACAAAAGAATATATCACAACAATTACAACGATGTGCAAATTAATCAATGAGATAACATGATGGTGAAACTACACTGAAAGACTTCAGGAAATCATGTGGTTGACAGTTTCAATTTTAAAGATCCCTCAAGGACATAGTTTCAGAGGTTTGTCTAGCTTCAATGGCAACAAAAAATAAGGATTCCATTGAGAATTTTAAATTCTGTTATCTATTTTTCCCCTTTTGACCAAGAGTGTTCTACAAAATTTTGATAAAAATGGTTTAGCTTAAGTATATCTGCCTTCAGCTTTGTCCTCTATTAAAGAAGTATGAGGGTCGGAGAGGGAAAAAATAAAGGGAAGCTGATATCAAGGAGTTTGAGAAGAGAGAAAATGTTTCGAAACAGATTGTGGTAGCAATTGTGGTTGAACTATGGAATGTTATGCTATCTGTAAGAGCTCCCAACAAAATGATTTTAAAACAAAAAAGAATTATTTATGTGAAAATAAAAGGGCAACTTTTCTAACTTGACAAGTTAGAAAAGAAGCTTGGAAGGTTGGGGAACAGTTTAAGTTAACCAGTTAACAGTGGTGGGACATTTTGTAAAAGATAGCAAGAAGGATTGTGGTGAATTATACAAGTAGAAATTGTTCAAATGCTGTTCTGCTATATACCTTTTCACACAAAAATCCCTGTGCTGAATATTATTTTTTTTAATTAAAAAAGTTGTGATATAAGTCAAAGTTTACAGAGTAAACTAGTTTTCCACTCAACCATTCGGACCCATTTTGCTTGGTCTCCATTGTAATTCCTACAATCGAATAGGGCTATGCCCAATTCCTCCCTATGTTGGCCATTTCCTCCACCCTTGTTTTCCAATTCTTCCTGCCGTGGGAACATTAGTCCTAGGCAAATGCTGCCTTTTTATTGTTTTGTGGTGGTTTGCTCTAAGGAATTCCACCTTACAGTCCAGCCTATCATTTTGCTGAAACTTGAAGCATGGGGGTAACTGAAGTTCCAGGTTTGCAGGGTATCTAAGGGCCATCATCTTAGGGTTTTACTGGTCTCTGTCAGAGCAGTAAATCTGGTTTTTTGTTTGTTTGTTTGTTTGTTTCCATTATTGTCCAGCTTTATCCTACATCTTCTCCTACTTTATGTAGGACTTCCTTTTCGGGTGGTCAACAGTGACAGCAGGCCACTATCTATCTGGTCCTGGTCTCAGGATTGAGAAGGCTGGGTTTCATGTGGCCTAATAGTCTTTCGGACTAATTGATGCCTTAATTGTCTTCACTTCAGAAGACACTGCACTGTAGAAGGCTATTCGTGAGCTTTTAAAATTCCAGTTGCTACTCCTTGAAGCAAGATTTCTGTATACACTATGTTATGCCAATTGACTTTGGTGTTAACCAGGACTGTGGTCCTGAGTCCCTAGACCCAGTGACTCATTCCCTCAAGGTACATGGTTATGGTTACTACGTTTTCACAACTTTGTCTACTGTAGGCTCTGTTAAATTCAGGGATATATTGGCAGCACACAGGAGTGAAGTGTGCCATTTTGACCCAAAGCCTCAGACAGGGAACTTCATGTGTAAAGGATGGTTGATGCCAAGAACCATAGAGATTTCTAAGGAATGCCAGGCCTAAGGATCCTGAAAAGAGAAAGGGATCTTCGTCCTAAACTGTGAGTCAACAGGAATAGAAGCCTTTCCCGAGAGCCGGCACGGTACATTTAGACTAACCCCTTCACTGTGAGGGGTACATACGTTTGTTAAAGCCGTTACTTGTGGTATTTCTGTTAATGCCGCAATAGACAACTTGTTCCTCAAGTCTTCGTTGCAGAAAGTCTAGATTGTCTGTCTAGTAAACCATCTTTGATCCCCTCTGAAGAGAATTGATCCTTTACGTGGTTAAGTTGGTGTTTGTAGTCTCAGTCCCTCGTATTTGCCACTGCACTCCAGTGACATGAACACAAGTACAGGAGACTGTTCCAGTTTCTACTATATAAATTTTAATTTTTTGAAAAGAGAGAAAATTTAATTGTACATACATACACTTGCCAGATGATAAACAGGCTGTCTCTTAATATTTTATGTATATGGAATTAAATTTGTAAATGGAAAATATGTTGTGGCAGTTACATAATCTCCTGTCAACTGCAAAGGGGTGGAATCTAGCCTGTCAATCAGTCGCAGTTTGATGACCTCATTTGGAGGCACGAAGGAGATACATAGCTCACTGGAGACCATTCCTATTGACAAGCCACATCATGGAGCTATGCTGATAGAGGCAGAGCCCTGGAGCTACAGCAGCCACATGGACACCCATGCCAGCGCTGAGATGCTTCCACCGCCACCAGATCCACAAGACTTTCCACCCCCTGGCCTGTGATCTTCCTGCATTCAGCATCATTGCATGACTACATGAGTCTAAAGAGGAATTTATGGACTAGTATCAACATATGGGGTAATACCAGATTTATGGACTTGATCTGGACTGGGCTGGGATGTTTTCATAATGTATAATTGCTCTTTGATATAAAGTTTTGTCTTACACACAAGTGTCTATGAATTTGTTTCTCTAGTCAACCCAGACGAACATAAATTTCAATGACTTGATTCTTGTCAACTCCCAAATCATCTTTAATCCATAACACTGCTGAGCTGAATATTAAAAATATGATCACCACCACACATAATAGGAGAAGAGATCCTTTCTCATCCCCATCAGTTTATAGTGGATTTAAGATAAAAAAAATTCTAAGCACAGTTGGTCACCCCAACTTCTTTTTTTTTTTTTCACCCCCCAACTTCTTTCTGCTTTTCTCTCTTTTCTCCTCTTGACTTTTTCCAGAGCCTCAGTGGATGTTTCCTAAGTTGGCCTAAAGATGTCCTAATTGATTTTGCTTCCAATCACAATGGCTACTTAACATACACCTCTAATCCTCTCTAGTTTGGGAGAAGGGAGCCATTTGATCACATTACAAAACTATATATGTAAGTTGTCACCTTTTAGGCTTCCCACAAGTGTTTGCCTGAGATGTGTGTAAACATAAAAGAAATCACGTAGCCTAGGTCAGCTGTAGGAACCCTGGTGTTACTACGTTTAACAGCTCGCATACTAACTGGAAGGTCAGCAGTTCAAACCCACCAAAAAGAAAGATGTTGTAGTCTGCTTCCTTAAAGATTACAGTCTTGAGCCCGAGGAGGCAGTGCTACTCTGTCCTATAGGGTCATTATGAATTGGAATCAACATGATAATAATATGCTTGGTTTTGTGGTTTATGAGACAGCTAGGAGGTGGGAAGGAGGGGAGACTTGGCAGAAAGGGGGACTATTTGCCATAAAGGCTGTCTTCTTCTTCTTCTTCTTCTTTTTTTTAAACATAAAGGCTCTCTTATCATTCCTCACAGACAATCCATGCTTGGGCCAAACTCAACTACTTGCAGGCAGCAAAATCTAGGCATTCTAGTTCCTTTGCACAAGTCGCTTTCTCTGCTACGAACACTTGCCTCTCAATGTTCTCTTTGGTCCCTCACACACCGCTCACATGTCTTCCCGGCAGCATTTCGAACTCGTCCCTGGCTGCGGCGTACATAGTAATATGACCCTACTACACACCATGGATCTGTCTACCCATATCTGCCTTCCTTCCATTACTTGTCAGCAATGGATTCCTGAGCAACTAGCAAGACCTAGTTCTTAACAGGTGCATGAACTTAAAAACATGTTTTACAATTATGTTGTTTGGGTAGACCATTTTTATTTAATTTAAAAGTCGGTAAACAAATTTTATGTATTAAATCATATCCAGTGTCGTTCATTTCCCGTTAACCTACATGTTCCTTAAAAGCTATGGACATGCATTCACTAATGTTCTTTCTTTCGTTAACAGTCATATAATTATAGTAACCATGTTTTAATTGATCAAATGTAACTTTTACTCATTACTTACACACCTATCAGGAAATGTACTTCATGTGAAGATCAGAAGATATCTTTGAACTGTGGACCCTAGAATGGCTCAAACAACTGTAAAAAAAAATGAACTCCAATACTACAGAATAGAGGCAACCTTTTAAGTGAGTGAAATAGACAGCCAGCGGCAAAAATTGTTAAGGGGAAAGACTACCCTCTAGGCAGGGTAAGTCAAGGAAGACGTATTTAACGGAGAAGTGACTTCAGAAACTCTGAAATCTCTAGAAATATCTGAATGTATTATTTCACTCCCATGCAATCCAAAACTCTACCACTGCTGACCCTCATCAACAACCACCGGCGACATCAGTATCTCTGAATTGTGTGTCAAAGTTCCCTACCTCCCATTTCAGCACTTGCATCAGATTGCCTTTCTTCATGTACTCCATCACAAGAGAGTAGCTGCCTTCCTCCATGATGACACCAAGGAGCTTCACTACCCGATGATGGTTCAATCTGTGCATCATCTTCCCCTCTTCAAGGAGGGACTCATCATACCTGTGCGAAGGAAGGGTACTGTGTGAACGTAGGGTGTTAGACCGTACTTCTCCCTTCATGCTTCCCAGAAAACTCTGCCGACTCCTCCAACCCCCCACATCGCCCACGTTTTGTAACAACTTGTGTATACAGTTGTATCTTCTAGGAACAGACTGCACTCTTTGCAAAGGCATTTTCTAATTCATCTTTGTTTTCCTCCTTTCCTGTCCTCAATAAATGCTACATCAATGAGAAAATGGATGAAAAGTAAATGGACAACATAGTTAAAAAAAAAAAAAAAGAAACCCTCTAACAAGTCACCTTTTATTTTCATTTAGGGCTAGTTCCCATTAAAATTGTGAATAAGGGGGAGTGGAGAGCAGGGAGGGAGGGGGAAAATGAGGAGCTGATACCAAGGGCTCAAGTAGAAAGCAAATGTTTTGAGAATGATGATGGCAACAGATGTATAAATGTACTTGTCACAATAGATGGATGTATGGATTGTGATGAATTGTACGAGGCCCCAATAAAATGATTTTTTTAAAAAAGAAGAAAGAATATGTGAATAAAAATAAACAAGCAAATAAAGTCTATTTTCACCGATCCCTCCTATTTTATTTCCTCATTCATCACCCCTTACTTTCCCTTTCATTTTACTTCCATTAACTACTGGCTGTGAGCTTTTCACAAGCCACCAGTGTCTGAATCCTCCTGTGGAACACAAAGAGAAAAATCATAACGAACTTGCAGGGCTAGTGCACCATCTGTCATAAAGACCACGTACTCAGATTGCAACCACATCGCTCTCCTTTTAGAGCCTGTACTACCCTTACCCACAGCACTGCCCAGCACCTCCACAAGGATTACTCTTTGCGGCAAGCCTTTAATTTGTCCCGTCTCAACTTTGCTCCCAACTCACTCAATGCACTTAGGCCCTGTGTACACGTTTTTCAGTATCACATTTCGATGGATTTTGTGAAAACACAGAGACACTTTTCCAAAGCCCCAGCTGTCTATGTATCTCGTTGTCAGGAAGTCCGTCGATTTCATCTTAATCTCATCCAAGAACACATCTGGTTGCATTTTTAATGGCAAGGACAACCAATCGTATAGCACTTATGCCCTGAAAGCCGTGCTGTAAAGAAAAAAGGAAAAGACATCTCGTTATAAATGACCATAATTCATAAAATTCTTGAAAAGTTCCATCCCGTGGTTAGTGTACCTTTACGGCTAGAAGACACAGACTTATCATTTCTAAGATGAGCTATTTTTTGTATGCCTAAGAATCACAGGAGATCATCATTTTAAATTCTTAGAGGAAGAATGTAATTTCATTTTTCACAACATGAAAGATGAAAAAACTTTTTAAAATCCTGCTACAAAACATCTGTTGGATATGCTGAATAAAATATTACAAACATCCTTTCAAATACATAGGTAAGATCATTGAGAGGCCCAAAACATAAAGATTTCGGGACCTAAATTAATAGGGTATCCCTGAAAGTGGGGCAGAGGTCCAAGTAATAGCCAATTGGGGCACTGCCAATCTTGCCATCCACACACAGTAGATTGTAAAAACTTGTCAGAAAGAGATGGTTAAAATTAAATTCCCTCCTCAATATGACAGGAGCCCTGGTGACAAAGTGGTTACACATTGGTTGGGCTGCACAGGAGACATACGGGCTTTCTACTCCCATAAAGAGTCAGTCTCAGAAACTCACAGGGGCAGTTTAGCCTGTGCTACAGGGCCCTTATGAGTTGGCATCGACTCAATGGCAGTGGATTTGGGTTTTTTTGTTTTGTTTTATTTTTTCCTAATATAAATACTCCCCAATAATAGAATGGACTAGAAAAAGCAGCCCACCTGACAGTTGTTTTGTATAGGATGGAATGACACATGATCAGGAGAAATGCACATAAAGCAAACACCTAAAAAGGCCCTAACGTTTACCTCAGCCTGATTTCTACGTGTACTGCAAGAAGACCCAACAAATGGAAACAAACTGGAAGAGGTGAGTTCTCCTCTCCCTGGAGTCAAGGCAATCTCTTTCAAAGTATTACTTAGGCAGGGCTCTTTGGAGTCCCCTGGTGGTCATACTAGTTAAGAAAGCAATTATAAACAGTTAGGGGAAGTAAATGAGAGGGCAGACTACTAAGGCATTAACAATTTTAAAAAATAAAAACACTCCAAACTTGGGGAAAAGAGAAACTCTGAGCTTCCAGCTAAAACATGATATTCAAACGTTCTGTTTTCAATAGAAAACCACAAGGCAAACAAAGAAACAGGAAAGCAAAGCACATTGGAAGAGCAAAATGAAGCAAGTGGAAGAGCAGGTTGACTATATTGAAGACTTTAAAACAAAAGCAATGAATATCCTCAAATACTCAAGAGAAGCACAGATCAAAAACGAAAGGAAGTCAGGAACACCACACATGAACAGAAATATCAATGAGATAAACACTATAAAAAAGAACCACATACACCGTGAGCACTTTGTGTCTCCCATTGGGATTCAAAGCATGTTTTCATTTAAATGAATGAACTGATTATGGCTTGAATATTTTAAATAAAATGATTGGTCATTCTTCTTTCAAAAAAAACCAAAACAGGACCCCAACAGAATTATTGGAGCTGAAAAGTACAATACCTGAAATGAAAAATTCACTGGAGAGACTTAATAGTAAATATGAGGTGTTAGAAGGCGGATTCAGCCAACCAGAAGATAGGATTAATGAAACTATTGGGTTTGAAAAGCAAAAAGAATGATGAAAAGTAAACAGCCCAAGGAACTTGTGAAACACCATCAAACAAAACACACCCATCTTATAGTAGTCCCAGAAGTAGAAGATAGAGAGGCACAGAAAGAATATTTGAAGAAATAAGAGCAGGTAGCTTCTCAAATTTGATAAAGGACATGAATTTATACATTCTAAATGCTCAATTACCTCCAAATAGGATAAACTCACACATACCCAGACCAAGAAACATTAAAAATCAAACTTTGAAAACGCAAAGATCCCAAACAAGAAATCTGAAAGCACCAAGAAAAAAATGAATTATCAAAATAATAATAATTTATAAATTATCAGGGGTTCATGAGGGAGGGGGGAAGAAGGAGGGAGGGGGAAAACTGAGGAGCTGATGCCAAGGACTCAAGCAGAAAGCAAATGTTTTGAGAATGATGATGGCAACAAAGGTACCAATGTGCTTGACACAATGGATGGATGGATTGTGATGAGTTGTATGAGCCCCAATAAAATGATTTAAAAAGAAAAAAAAAAGAATCATCACACGCAAAATGTCCTCAAGAAAAAGTAAGTGGTAGCTGCTTAAAAACAATGGAGGCCAACAAGCAGTGAAATGAAAATTTTAAAGAGCTGAAGCAAATAACTGTCATCCAAAAATTCGATACCTGGCAAAAAAACGGTCCTTCCAGGTGTGTTGCTAGCCCCTCATCCCACCCCTTCTTCTTACCAACCCAGTTTAGTGGTAGCAGATCATTCATTTAATTGCATTGCCATTTGCTCATCCTGCCCCTTCTGCCCTCTGACCCACTCCAGCCTGGTTAGCCATGCATCTTAACACGCCCATAACCTAGTCAAAGTCCTGCCACCTTTTCTCCACTCAGTGACAGGCACCAAGAGCATAACATCAGGAGAGCCCACCCACCACATCCTTCCCCCTTCTTCCGCTGCTTCCTGCAGTCTGGCAAGGAGTGGTGATTGCAAGCCCTACACGTACTAACCTGCTATGCCCACTGCACCAGACAGGAAGTGATGGCATCTGAGTGTGCACACATACCTGACACTCCTCACCCCATCCTTCAGGAAGCAGCAACTACATCCCCACTAGTCAGTCACATCCATGAAACTCACTAAGTGCCATTAGATCCTTCTGCATCACTGGACTAATGCCAACAGCCAAAGCCTGCCAACCTACCTCACTGCCCCTGCAAAAACAATAAATAGAAACTGATGCTCACAAACCCAGCAACGCCCCCCACACCCCCAAAACACAATCTCACTGCCATTGAGTAATTGCTGACTGTGGGTTTCTGAGACTGTAAGTGTTTGCAGGAGTAGAAAACCCATGGAGCTGCTAGTGGGTTTGAACTGCCATCCATGAGGATTGCAGCCCAATGTGTAACCACTACACTACCAGGTCTCCTAGCATGTGATAGTTAATTTTTTGTGTGTCAACATTGTACCTGTTGAAACACATAACTTTCTTCTAGTTCTTTAATGCTTACTCCTCCCCACTATCATGACCCCAATTCTACCTTATAAATCTGGTTAGACCAGAGCATGTACACAGGTACAGATAAGGGCTGGAAGGAAACACAGGGAACTCAGGACAGATAAACCACTGAGGACTGATATTGAGAGTAGCCATACCAGGAGGGTAAGGGGAAAGTGAGGGGAGAAGGGGGGAACCGATCACAATGATCTACACATAACACCCTCCCTGGGGGATGGACAACAGAAAAGTGGATGAAGGGAGACATCGGTCAGTAAATGACATGAACAAATAATAATAATAGTTTAGAAATTATCAAGGGTGCATAAGGGAGGGGAGGGAGGGGGAAAATGAGGAGCTGATACCAAGGGCTCAAGTAGAAAGAAAATGTTTTGAAAATGATGATGACAACAAATGTACAAATGTGCTTGACACAATGGATGGATGGATGGATTGTGAGAAGAGTTGTACAAGCCCCCAATAAAGTGATTTTAAAAAAAAAGAAATGGATAAAGTTTAGCCTGTCAATTAGGTCACAGCTTGATGATCTCCTTTGAGAGGTAAGACGGAGTTAAATGGCTCTCTGGAGGTGGGCCCCTCCCTGGTGGTCAGATCACCATGCTGCCTGATCAGGTTGCTCTGCCTCATTACATGTGCTGTGCTTCCTGTGGGTCATTCAGTACTCTGCTGGCCGAGTCCACTATGAACAGTGTCGCTGTGTCGTGCTGTTCCACACCACTGCCACCCCACCTTGCCTTGTCTGCTGCCTGTGGGCCGACTGTTCATCTTGTCACCACACCAGACACTGCGACTCCAGCCAGCACTTTGTATTGCTTCATCATGAGGCTCCACCTGCTTTGCCAGGCTGTGCTACTGGCCTCTGCTATCTATGCCTCACGACTTCATCTTCCTACTGTCTATTTCCTTGGCCTTGGGTTAGTGGCCACATGAGTTGGACTGAGCTCTCTGTACTGCTGTGTGGACTAATTTGCTGTTATATTCCTTTTTGCTATATAATAGTATCCTTTTATATATATATGTACACAAACATATACATATATGTATATATATGTGTATGAGCATATATGTATAAGTGTGTGCATATATATATGAGCATTGGTATGTGTGTGCATATATGTGTGTATATGAGCATATATGTATATCTGTGTGCATATATGTGTGTCTGTGTGTGTGTATATATGAGCATATATGTATATGTGTGTATATATATAAAATCATGTGTCCTGCCTGGTCTTGCTTCTCTAGAACACCTTGTCTAACACATAGCAACAACCCTACTTACCCCAACACAAATGACAAGAACTCAATACAACTAGACTAGAGGCTACAATAGCACTTATATTCTGCTTGCCTAAAGAGATAATAGTACAAAATAACAAAACACTAGGACCCATCAAATAAGCATATAATAAATATAACACCGTAGTTTCTGAAACAATATTAGCATCTTAAACCAAAGACAGCAGCAGGTTATCGAAAGAAGCAGGACAAGATGGGCCCAGCGACTGAGCAGACAAAGGAGTGTGGGCAGGAAACCACTTGAAAAAGAAATAGTAATGCAACTACCTGTTAAAGAAAACAAAACCCACTGCCATCAAGTTTATTCTAACTCACAGAAACCCAGTAGGTCAGAGTAGAACTGTTCCTTAGGGTTTCTGAGACTAAATTTTTGTGGAAGGAGACAACTTCATTTTTCTCCTGTAAAGTAGCAGATGGGTTTGAACTACTGACGTTGTGGTTAGTAGGCCAATGGTTAATACACAGCAACAATTTCCTAGACACATGCAGACCACTCTAACCTGACAACAGAACATCACTGATATTAGAGTATACATTCTTTTCGAATGCACATGGATCATTCACCAGGATGGACCATATGTTAGCAAGAATAAGTAAATTTGAAAACATCAAAATAATACACATCACTTTTTTTGTATAAAAATTGAAATCAATCAACGTCTTAGGGAATACAGCTGGCCACCATGAAAACAAGCATGGGGAAATCTCAGCAACCAGAGAAGTTCCACTAGGACAGAGATCCTGGACTCCCTGGAAGTGAAAAACCCAATGTAAAAGCTAAGTACACCAAAGTTTCTTAAAATGGGAGATCAGCAATGCCTGCTGCTGACTCTCCTTCACCACAAAAAAGCAGCAGGAGCTTCTCTGTGCCCCATCCCTTGGCCATCTCCCAAGCACAAGGTGACCTTCCCCAAACCAGCCAAACTAACCTCTTCCCTCTATGCCCTCTGCGGCCCTGCAAGGATAGGAGAGTAGACTGGGAACAGCTTGAATGCAGATCTTCAGGGTACCCAAGCAACAGTTCTCACCATTTGTACCTTCCTTCCTTCACTCCTTTCTTATACGGGAACTTAGCCCCTCACCCACAACACACATCCCCCATGCAGCAG